TAATTCTCTCCAGTTACCAGATTTTTAAAAAATTCATTAAGGCAAGGACAAAAAATTGGGGTGGAGGGCATCCTCAGATGCCTTGGGTTGTTCCAGGGACAATGTCATTTACTGAAACCATAGACAATCCAGAACAAAAGGCAACACAAATATTTGTATTCAAACTACAAACTGTCAGATGTAAATGCCTTATTCTCCAATGTGTAAATAATGTATATATGGAACATCAGAGGTTAACTTATTCTTTGGACTTTAATGTATTCATAACTTACCACTCCCATTCCTAGCTCCACCCCTTGTATATATAAGGAGCCACCCTCACCATTCTCGTTGCTTCTACCTTGAATATTCAGTGAATATAGAATGCCTATCATAATTAAAAAGAAATATATTTAAAGCTCTAACTCCTATTATTTTTATTGAGTCTGATCCTGAAAATATTGCAACACAAACAATTTTTTTTCAGTGGGAATTGAAATAGTATCTCCTGTTTTTTCAAATCCATTGAAGATATAGTACAGGTCAGTACCTGCATTTCAAGGAAAATTGCATGGAGAAGGGCTGAGTCCAGTGGTGAGATTCAGTCAGTTTGCACCACTTTGGGAGAACTGGTTGTTAACTTTCTGAGCAGTTTGGCAAACTGGTTTTTGGAAGAAATCATTAAGGCAGAGAACCAGTTGTTAAATTACTTGAATCCCACCAGGGGCTGAGTCCCCACCCAAGGAATAAAATCCATGTCTAAGATTGTAGGTAAGCCACCGCAGAAGAATAATTGACTAGATGTTTGGGATCCCATTAGCTCTGGAAGTGCAACATATTGGACTGAAGGCCAATTAATATAGTAAAAGGAGACTCAGAGTCTTTAACATGAGCTGGATTAAGGATAATTGATATCCTAAACAGGCTCACAATGGGGCGTCTCAGCCCTTCCAATGCTTAAATGAAAACACGTTAAAATTCCATAAGTAAGTGCTGAAAACTAAAGTTGAGACTGGCAATGAATGTGTTAAGAGCACGATAACAAGGGGAAAACTCTGTGGTACCTCCATTTCTTTGGTATCCTAGGCTTGTGCTAATTTGGCTTAATGTTTAACCGAGCACGTGTTTCATGAACATCCAAAAGCCGAGAAACATCTGCCCACCAGTTAGAGAAAGCCGCTTTATCAAAAACTAATTGTGAGCTTGTAGGAGGATGAAAGAGACTTGATCTAATAATTCATTTGCATTATAGAGAAATACAGAAATCTAAAATGTGCCACAGTCTTTCTGGTCTGCTACAAAAACTCCTCCACTTAAGGCCATTTGTTTAGCAAATGTTCAAAGTTATGACAGTGTTGAAAAAAGTGACTTATAACCAGGGGTGGGATCTAAAAAATTTTACTACCAGTTCTGTGGGCGTGGCTTATTTTGTGGGCATGGCTTTATGGTCATGTGACAATTCTTTAGGATTTAGCAGAGGTACTGGTCTACCAGGCTTTTAACTGCTTGCAGAGCTGTACCAGTATATCCATTTGTTTTTGGAGGCACTGGTCTACTCGTTTGTTTTTGGAAGCATCGGTCTACCTCCACACTGCCTTTTAACACTGATCAGCTGTAGGGCGGCCCTTTGAGGCCTCGCGGCAAGAGTTTAAACAGTTTTTTTTCCTTCTAACTGATCAGCTGGGGCTCAGGAGGCAGAGAATAGATTGGGGGCGGGGCCAAATAAAAGGTAAGAATAACGCGGTGGCGGGCAGCTCCCGAACAAAGAGAACCGATTCGGTGACGTCATATTGTCACCGCTACCGGCTCGGCGGAACCGGGAGGAACCCACCACTGCCTATAACCTGTCTTCACAGATACAAACATCACAGTATCCATACAATCACATAATCAAAATTCAGGCACTTGACAGCCAACATCTATTTATAACCGTTGCAGCATCCCAGGTCACATGTTCCCCATTAGAGACCTCCTCAGGGGGTTTCCGACAAGCAAGGTTAATGGGGGAAGCTGGATTCACTTAATGACTATGGTGATTTGCTTAACAGCCATGACAAAAAAGATTGTAACGTCAGGCATGACTCACTTATCAATCACCTTGCTTAGCCATGGAAGTTCTGGTCTCAATTGTAGTTTTAAGTCAAGAACTACACAGAAACCCAAGTTTCAATTCTAATTGAGAACCACAAGCAAAGGGAGAAAATTGAGGAAATTATTTGGAAAGAAACAAACAAGCTTCAGTTGGTCCATATTTTACCTTGAACTTTATATTTTCATTAATTTACAGTAGTACTTTATCTGCAGCATTGATTTGCGTTTGGTTTCCCAGCCCAGCTGAGAATGCTCCTATTTACTTTTCAACACTTATTAGTTACCTGAAAATTGCTTGCCCTATATCAACCTGCCTGAAATCTCAGATTCCCCTGAGAGTTCCCGGAGCTACCACAGAGAAAGCAAGGCAAGCAGCGATTACCAGCAAAAAAAAATTGGTGAAAGCGAGGGTTGCCTGGCACTGGGTTTGAAGTCTTTTCAGTAACGCCTGAATAAGGTTACCTGATATCTGAATGGGCAAAGGAAGAGATAGGCAAATAGAAAGGAGGACAAATGTGATGAGGGAAGAGCACACTAAATGCTTAACCTTCTTGGTATCCATGATAAAAATTATAGCAATTTTTGCTGGACAAAAAAACTGCCATATGCCTACAGGTGTATGAAAAGCATTAGAAGTGAGGTGGGCAGATAAATAGATAGATAGATAAATAGATAGATAGATAGATAGATAGATAGATAGATAGATAGATAGATA